CAGTCAAGAGAAACAAGCTCAGGGCGGATCACAACGTCACCACACATTCTGAGCACAAGCAAATGTCAGAGGTCCACTGGTGATCCCCGATGATCTTAGGGAAGGGTTACAGGCACGTTGGCCTGGGGGGTTATGGGCGCACTCACCCGCTACACAAACAAGCCATTTTATCCCAGTGGTTAGTGGCTGGGATTCTGACATGGTATCAGAGCGAAGGTCTCGGGTTCGAATCCCGGTGTGTGCACCTCGGGCATCCCAGTGCGGGGGGGTGTCAGAGGTCCACTGGTGATCCCCGATGATCCTAGGGAAGGGTTACAGGCACGTTGGCCTGGGGGGTTATGGGCGCACTCACCCGCTACACAAACAAGCCCTTTTATCCCAGTGGTTAGTGGTTGGGATTCTGACAGCAAATGGCCACAAGGCCAGTTCACATGCAGAGATATATATGCAGCAATAACAGTACAGTGATGGCTACCTAGCAAGAGCCAGCATGCAGGTATATATGTATATAGATCACAGTACAAGCAGAGACTACAGCAAGTGTGGAAACGTAGGTACAAGGCCTAACAGAGTACAAAAGCGCTGATGATCACCAGACGGAAGTGCCTTGGTGAATATATCAGCAGTGTTGGCCCGAGTGGCCACGTGACGAAGACGAAGCTGGCCTCGCTGCTGCAACTCTCGAGCCAGGAAGTAACGCAGAGCAATGTGCTTCGTTCTGTGCTCTAGTCTGTGCTCCTCACACAAGGCAATGGCCGCCTTGTTGTCAACGTACAGCACTGGAGGAGAACGAGGCCGCTCACCCAAGTCAGTCAGCAGGTAGGTGAGCCAGCGTAGCTCCTGTGCAGCCATGGCGGTGGCGTAGATCTCAGCCTCACAACTGGAGCTGAGAACAGAAGACGAGCGTGTAGACCGCCAAGAAATAGAGCCAGAGCCAAGGCTGAAGGTGTAACCCTTTGACGACCGCTGTGTAGCCTGGTCGTCAACCCAAGACGCGTCTGAGTGCCCAGTGAGGACCACCTCACTCCGTCCTCCAAGCACGAGCCCCATGCCCGATGTACTGCACAAGTAGCGCAGTACCCTCTTAGCAGCAGCCATGTGCTCTGGTCGGTGCCTACCAGGAGCCACGTAGCGAGCGAGAAGGCCAAGAGGGTACGCAAGGTCAGGACGAGTGCAGGTCATCAGGTACATGAGGCAGCCCACTAGCTCTGGGTAAGGACCACTCGGCTCTACGGACTCGTCCGAAGGTGGAGCTGAGAGCGAGTGACCTGTAGCCAGAGGAGTGTGCTGTGGCGAGGACCAGGTGAAGCCGAAGCGCTGAAGGACCTGCTGCACCATGTGTGACTGAGTCAGTGTGATGGTGCGGCGTGCTCTGTCCCGAGTGATCTGCAAGCCAAGGTAACTGCGCAGCTCACCCAGGTCTGTGCACGTGTGTCTCTTCTGCAGCTCCGACTTCACCAAGGCGAGAGCCTCAGTGTCAGCAGTGGCAAAGACTAAGTCGTCTACGTACACGAGGATGTAGAACGGTGGCAGCGAAGTGTCGGTGCGCAGAAACAGCGACGGGTCAGCTGTCGAAGGAGCGAACCCAAGAGCCGCCAGTGTCGTCCTCAGTGTGTCGTGCCACTCACGTGGCGCCTGGCGGAGACCGTAGACTGGCCGCCGGAGGCTCCACTGGGTATCAGGAGGGAACGACCCAGTGAAGCCAGGTGGGCGGCGCAGCCATATCTCCTCGTGCAGGCTGCCCTGTAAGAAAGCTGTGCTGAAGTCAAGAGAGTGAAGCTCGTAGTCACGGTGAGCGGCAACGTGCAGCAGCACCCGAAGAGTAGTCATCTTCGGGGTAGGGGAGAAGGTCTGGAAGAAGTCAACTCCCTCTCGCTGACTGAAGCCTCGAGCAACGTAACGAGCCTTGAAGACAGGCGGAGAACCCGGCGGCCGCTTCACCCTGAAAATCCACATGCCATCGACGATGTTCGCCCAAGGAGGGGGAACCTCATCGACGTAAGTGCCTGTGGACTTCCAGGATGCCATCTCTGCGTCCATGGCTGTCTGCCACTGAGAGGAGTACTCACCCGCCATCGCCTCAGCGTAAGAGCGCGGGGTCGGGATGTCTGGTGCATCCGGGTCTCCCTCAGGGGCAAGCAGCATGGCCACGAGATGAGGCGCAGCAGCCGCAAGACACTCAAGGTCCTCGTGCCTGTCCTCAAGGACGTCCGTGTCAAGAGCACACTCACCCCCGACGAACGGAGGACAGACAGACTCAGACTCAGCAACAAGACTGGCAGTGAAGTCTAGACGACAGGCAGCAGCAAAGTCAACAAGCTCAGCGACAAGAGCAGACGCAGCAGTAGACTCAAACGACGGGTCAGTGACAACAGTGGCTAGCAGACGCGTGACAGTAGGGTGCTCAGCACGAAACCGGTCAGACTCAGGGTCTGGAACGTCAGGTAGAGAGGACGCAGGAGGAGACGGCAGAGGAACAGGCTGCAGAGCAGAGGAAGGACGACGGACTACGAGGTGTGCGCTGGGGACAGCCGGCTGACGCGAACGAGGAACACGACGACCGGTACGACCAGGACGAGCAGGCGAGACAGGACGCGACGCAGGCTCACGACGCTCAGCAGGACTACCAGTCTGCTCAGTGTAAGGAGAAGGAGCAGGCAGCGGTGAGCCAGGCTGTAACGGAAGACCAGTAGACGACGGGAGAGTAAGAACCTGACGAAGAGCAGAGTCAGACGGCGGCAGAGACGACGGAGACGGCGGAGCGAAGAACAGTCGTGTCGGCGCAGCTGCGCCAGTACCGGCAGCTCCAGCAGCTCCAGTACCTCCAGCAGCTCCAGCACCTCCAGTAGCTCCAGCCCCAGAACCGACACCTCCAGTCCCAGGGTCTCCAACCTCAGTGTCTCCAGCAGCAGCACCCCCAGAACCAGCACCCCAAGCCCCAGCAGCTCCAGTACCCCCAGGACGAGCACCTCCGGAACCAGCGACTCCAGCAGTAGAGCCCCGGGCTCCAGCAGCGCGACCCTGACGGCGACCGTACTGGTCCTGCAGCTGCTGTGCTCGGGGTGCTGTCTCTGGGGGTGCTGAGCCTGAGGGTGCGGAGCCTGAGCGAGAGGCGCCTAGAGGTGCTGAGCCTGGGGGTGCGGAGTCTGGGGGTGCTGTGCCTGCGCGTGAGGAGCCTGGAGGTGCTGAGCTTGGGGGTGTCGAGTCTGAGGGTGCGGAGCCTGCGCGAGAGGAGCCTGGAGGTGCTGAGCTTGGGGGTGCCGAGTCTGCGGGTACTGAGCCTACGCGTGAGGAGCCTGGAGGTGCTGGCGCTGGAGGTTCTGGAGCAGTTGGGGGAGCAGTTGGGAGTCACCAGTGACCTCAACAGGCGCAGGTACCGGAGGGTCTACCTGAGAAACACCTGAAGGAGCAGGACCTGGCGCGGGGAGGGGGTCTACCTGGGGAGGACCTGGAGCGAGAAAGAGCGGCGGGGGGGGGCGAGAGACAGTGCGGTAGGGAAAGAGACGGTAGAAGGGAACAGACTCGTCAAAGGTGACGTCCTGAGACGCAAAGACACGGCGCGAGGTGGGGTCGTAAAACTGCCAGCCAGGCGCATCAGGAGGAAAACCAAGGAAGACACAGGGAATGGCGCGAGCAGAGAGCTTGTCCGCGGTGAGATCGCGGACAAAGGCACGAGCACCTCAGACCCGGAAACGCGCGGCCACAGAAAATGGGGAGCCGCCGCATGGATCATGGAGGTACGAGCGACCTCCATGACTAAGCCAATGCGGCGCTCAGCAACCCCATTCTGCTGCGGAGAGGCCGGAAGCGTGAACGACTGGGTAATGCCGTGCTCCGCACAGAAGGCTGCCAAGAGGTCAGAGGAGAACTCACCACCTCTGTCAGAGTGCAGACGCAGGACAGGGAAGTCCCGCTCGAACCGCTCGCGGAGCTGGAGACGCACAGCGCGGATCCAGGGGATCAAAACAGCAGGGACGTCCCCCTTGCTGCGCAAGGGGAAGACCGTGGTGTAACGCGTGTAGTCGTCGACAACCAGCAAAAAGTACTGCTCACGGCCCTGTCCCTGGACGCGGGCTGGGCCCCACACGTCCAGGTGGAGCGTCTGCAGGGGAGCCTCTGTGGGAGGAAACGAGGAGGAGTGAGGAGCGGCGCGCTGCCGCCCCTCGACGCAGGGAATGCAGGGCGGCGCAGGCGAGGGAGGGAGGGCAGGCAGAGACCTGGGAAGCCCAGAGACCAGGGAGCGAGAGTGCATGCCACGAAGGCGAGGAAGGGAGGGGTGACCAAGGCGGTGGTGCCACAGAAGCGTGTCGTGCGACAGGCGGCGGCACTCACACTGGGTAGCTACCTGAGCAGACGCGTACAGCTGAGGAGACAAAGGAGTGTAGCGTGAAACAGTGGTGAGGGTGTACAGACTAGACCCCGGCTCACGAGTGAACGTGGCCAGGTGGCGGCCAGTCTTGGAGCACGTGCAGATCGCCACACGCTGCCCTCCAGGAGTCCAGGTGTCAACCCAGTGATCCTGGAGGACGGCGTTGCTCACCAGGTTCGTAGAGAACGAGGGAACGTGGAGACCTGACAGCTCACCAGACGGGACCGCCGGGCACGGGAGCACAGTCGTGGCTCGTGCAAGCACTGGGCCCCCAGAGGGGTCAGCCAGTGAGACAGGGACAGGTGCAGGGAGGGGAGTGACGATGGTGCTATCGCGAAAGAAACAGCGGGAAGCACCAGAGTCAAGTGTAAACGTGTGCAAGGCCTGAGTCGACTCAGTACCAAGGGGAGCAGACTCACTAGCACCTAGGGCTGCAGCCCTTATACCGGGGTCAATACCAGGATCAGGCGGCACACACAAGTAACAGTCACCCTCAGCACTAACAGTCAATGCATACATGGCAGCAAGAATAACATCATAGTCCAGATCAAAGATAGGCACATCACGCCTAAGCAGCTCGGCCCAGTTGGGGAACTCAGTAGCATCAGGATACTTGGCACGCCAGGCGTCACTAAGCCTAGCAAAACAACGATACTCAGTGTGAAAACCGTTGCAGGGGCGACCCTTGCGGGGGCCAGTACGAATGACATAGGGGCAGCGGTCAGAACCCCGAGACGCCCCACGCCCAGCATACCAGTCATTGAGCTGCTGGGAGGTGAGGGGAGGAAGCTGCTGCTGCTGCTGTGGCTGCTGCTGCTGCTGCTGGCCACCAGTGGGGCCACCCTTCTGGCCAGATCCACCCCCACTCCCACCTCCACCGCCACTGCCGCTGCCTCCTCCCCCACCACCGCCGCCGCCGCCTCCACCGCCCCCGGTCCTGCCGCCACCCCACCCACCGCCTCCACCCCCACGTCCACCCCCACCACCTCCACCACCCCCGCCGCCTCCACCACCGCTCCCTCCACCGCCACCTCCGCCACCCCTGCCACCCTTGCCGCCCCTGCCACCACCACGCTTCCCACCAGGAGCGGAAGCCGCTGCGACCTTCTCCGCACCGAGGAAGTCGACAGCAGTAGCAGCAGAGGCGTAGGAGGGGTCAAGAGGGGAGGGGGAGCACCCCTCAAAGAGGGGAGTGCGGGGAGTGCCACGAGCAGCACCGACAGCGAGGATGTTCTTCTCTGCTGCGACCAGCTGCTGCTCGAAGTCGTCCAGAGTGATAGTTGGAGGATCCTTGGCAAGGAAGTGATCCCTGACAGAGCGAAGAGTGTCAGGGAGGCGGGTGACGAGGATGTAGAGGGTGAAGTACAGCGGGGGGGTGTTCGTGGCGAGGAACTCGTCGGTAAGAGCGGCTCGAAAGCGGGCGTCACTAGCGCGGAGGTGAGTGATAAGGTCGGCAGCAGTGTGAAACGAGGCTAAGTCTGGGAACAGGTAAGGCAGGATGAGACTACCAACGGTGGCTGTGGCCGGGGCGGAATAGCGGGCAACGACAGCATCATACAGCGTCTTAGCAGTCTTAAGCTGGTTGAAATGCGCGCGCTCAGAGATCGGTAGGTGATTGCGAATAACAAGGCGCGCGACTGCGTCGCGGAGCTCCCACTGTGCTCGTTCAGGGGCAGGAGCAGTCTCAGCGGGAGTAGGGACAGTGCCAGTGACATAGGCTAGTAGTGATACTCCGTCTGCGACGTCAGTCATAAGGTAAAGCCGCAGATCACTAAGCCAGGTGTCAAACTCGATGGGGCGGCCGTCAGGCTCAAAGGCGAGAACAGTAAGGGTCGCCATGGTTGCAGCGCAGGCAAAAGTAGCAGGCTCAGGCAGCAGGCTCAGGCAGCAGGCAAAGGCTGCAGGTTCAGGCAGCAGGCAACTGTAGCAGGCAGGTGCGCAAGGCAGACGGTAGAGACGCAAGGCAGGCAAGAAAAAGACAGGGTAAACCCTAAACCCTGGCGGCAGGTACAGGCGGACGCAATGCACGGGGCAGCAATGCGCTGTACGAGCGGCGAACGCGACGTGCAGGGCCTAGGCGGGCTGCGTGCGGACGGTAGGTGCAGCGCGCAGCTCTGGAGTGGGCCGCGCAGGCAGCAAACACGACGCGCGGGGCGGAAAGGGGCTGCGCGCGAGCAACAGATGCGACGCGCGGGCTGCAGACGGGCTGTGCGGAGCCTTAGCGGGCTGCGCGAGGCAGGGACGGGCCGCGCGCGAGCTGTGCGGGCTCAGGGCGGGCTGCGCGGGCGACGGACGGGGCGCGACGCGGCTGGCAGCAGCAGTGCGCGCTAAAAAAAAAAAAAGGCGTGCGCGCGCAGCCGAGGCGCGCGCGGGCAGCAGGCTAGGCAGACAAACAGGCAAGGCAGGTAGGCAGGCCGTTGGTGAGGTAACTTAGTAACTGGTGGGCCCTTAAACTTAGGTCCTAAGAACCTGCTCTAGATGCCATGTCGAGATAGCTAGGCAAGGTTGGTTCGATTGACGAGAGAGTTTGGTACAAGAAACACAACCCTAAAGTGTTATCCCCTATAACATCTACCCCACTACAGCCTACCAATATATATCACACATATATATCATTTGACACATATATTGCATACAACTCGACGTGGTAATGACGATCAACATGCTGCCCAAAGAAATCAGCATCACAAACGATGCTGCAGCTGCATTCATAAGTGAGTTTTAGCAACTCCAGCCTTTCTGGAGCCCTCCAAGCCACAAACCATTTCATGCAACAAGCCCAACTCAACCTTTTGACAATTGCAGTTGCATCACTCAAGTACCTCCCTACATAGCTCCATCCCTATATAATCACATATACCGCCGCAGACCCCCCTGCAGTACCTCATCGCGAGCTGGCACCTGCAGTTACAGCAGTCCACGAGCCTCATACCGCCGAATCATTTCGTACGATAAATCCATCCTGGCTGCTTTCTGCCGATGGGAAAAACCTCCATGATTCCCACAGTACAGTCACATATCTCCCTGCAGACTCTCCTGTAGTGCCTGGGCCCGTGCCGGCACCTGCAGCTAGTCCACGCGCCTCGTACCTCGTAACCATCTCATATGACAGCCCCAACCTAGCCGCTATTTGTCTAAGGGCAGAACCTCCTTTATTCCCTCAGTACTGTCACAAATCTCCCTGCAGACTCTCCTGCAGCGCCTGGGCCCGTGCCGGCACCTGCAGCTTCAGCAGCCCCCGTGCCTCATACCGCCGAACCATCTCATACGACAGACCCATCTTGGCTGCTATCCGCCGAAGGGTTAGGACCTCCCCCACGCCCTCGCCGTCCTTGCCGCCCAGCCCAAAGCGCCACCTCAGCACGGTGGCCTCGTGTGGATGTAATGTATCAAGCTGTGAACGCAGGGGGGAAATCAAGGAAAGGCGGATTTAAGCTGGAGTATGCAAAGCCCATAAAGCACTGCCACCTCAGCACGGAGGCCTCGTGTGGATGAAGCGTGTCGAGCTGACATTGCAGCGGACGGGATCGGGGAATGAAAACGGATTGTAGCTTAAAAAACGAGCGGGGAACGGTTTGAACCTTCACCTCGAGTTCATTGGTTTGTTCTGTCCACGTGTCCTTACATGTTGCCACGTGTCTTTACCTTCTTGTTGTCATCTGCTACGTTTTGACCTCCTGTGCTCTTCTGCATGTTCAGAACCAAGCTGCAACACCACACCACACCACACCACACCACACCACACCACACCGCACCGCACCACTGCCACCCACTGCCATCCATCCCATAAAAGCCATCCATCCCATAAAAGCCATCCATCCCATGCCCTGGCCTATCGCTCCACTTCCCCCTCCCCCACACTGCTATCCCCGTCGCTTACCACGGCAACAAGGGCTGCTCGTGTGTGGCCCAATGCGCCTCCCTGCACGCCCATGCTTCTCCCCACGCTGCTATCACCAGCGCTGGCACCACTACCACTGCCGCCATCAACAGCACCAGCAGCAGCAGTTGCAGCAGATGCAGCAGCAGATGCAGCAAGTGCAGCACCAGTAGTAGCAGGACCGGTAGCAACCAAACCACCCTCGCCACCATCCGTACTCGCTATAGTGTCCTCCAGTGCAAGCCCAGTGACCGGAGACGCCGAGTGCAGGGAGACGGGGCGGGTGACGAGAGGGGTGGCAAGGGCGGCTCGGCACTGGGCGGCAGACAGGCCTGCCTCTGCTGCCACCTCTGCTACAGTGGCCTTACGACCTAGTCGGTTCTCCACTGCTGCTCTTGCCTTGCGCACTGAAATGAGGGTCTGCGGATTGGAAAAGTGGGAACAAGGGATGCATGCATAATGTGAATCTGTTAAGAAACGCACTGGGCGGCAGACAGGCCGGCCTCTGCTGCCACTTCTGCTACAGTGGCGCGGCGACCCAGGCGATTCTCCACCGCTGCTCTTGCCTTGCGCACTGAAATGAGAGTCTGTGGATAAGAGGAGAGGGAGAGGGGAAAGGAAACTTCAAAGTCTGCTCAGAAATGTTGCATGCACGATGTGAAATTGTTAAGAAACGCTGTGGGCGGCAGACAGGCCTGCCTCGGCTGCCACCTCTGCTACAGTGGCACGGCGACCGAGGCGATTCTCCACTGCTGCTCGTGCCTTGCGCACTGAAATGAGAGTCTGTGGATAGGGAAAGTGGGAGGGGGGATGGAAACTTGAAAGTCTGCGCAGGAATGTTGTATGTGTGCACACTACAAGATGCCTCTGCTGCCGCTTCTGCTACAGTAGCCCGGCGGCCGAGTCGATTCTCCACTGCTGCTCTTGCCTTGCGCACTGAAATGAGGGTCTGTGTAAAAGGGGAATGGGATGTGGGATGGAAAAAACTTGCGAGGCTGTGATTCTGTGCGGAGCATGCAAGGTGCTTCAGCCGCCTTTTGAGAACTCTCAAAGTGGTTCCTTAAGAAATGGCGTGGGTGTTATAGCGGAGGGAGGGTGCTTCTGGCGCCACTAATGCGACAGGGCCCCAACGACCCACCGACCAATGCCCTTTTGAGACATCTCAACCAAAAAGGAGGACATTTGAGACGTCTTAAAATGGAGGGTGCTTCTGCCGCCACTTCTGCAACAGGGGCCCGACGACCCAGCGACCAATGCGCCGCTGCTGCTCATGCATTGCACACCCTCACACCCTCATAACCACGCACACACATACACTTTCCACTCAACACTCACCATGGAGCTCCGAGCGGGCATGCGGACGAACTGGGTAGAAGGGATGGCGCGGATAATCGCCGTGCGGACGGCGTGTGTGGCAAAGGTTGAGAAGCGCAGCTTCCTGGCAGAATCAAAGCAGCCATTCCCCCACAACCCTCTCACATCACCCCCACAACACCCTCAGACACTCACCATGGAGCTCCTGGCAGGCATGCGGACGAATTGGGTAGAGGGGATGGCACGGATGATGGCCGTGCGGACTGCATGAGTTGCAAAGGTGGAGAAGCGCAGCTTCCTGGCGGGGTCAAAGCGCCGGGCAGCAGTGGTGAGACCCTCTAGGCCGCGCTGGCAGACAGCGATGAAGTCGGCTCCCGTGGAGAGGCGGAAGGAGTGGGCGATTGAGAGCACGAGGCGCAGGTTGTGCTGCAGGCAAGTGGGGGATGGGAAGGGTGGGAATTAGAGCCACTGCGCTGGCAGACAGCGATGAAGTCAGCTCTCCGGTGGAGAGGCGGAAGGAGTGGGCGATGGAGAGCACGAGATGCAGGCTATGCTGATGGACAGAGGGAACAGAGGGACAGAGGAGAATCAGGAGATGTGGTGCTTTGACTTTTGAGTCGACTCAAAAGTCAACCTGATGGATAGGACAAGATGCAGGTTGTGCTGATGGACAGAGGGAACAGAGGGACAGAGGAGATGTGGTGATTCTAACACACTTAATTCGAGAATCTGGCCTGAAGGCAAAAAGGGTGTTAAAAAAACCTGTAGGGCGTGCTCAACCCACCATTCCCACTCTGCACCCTTCCAGCACCACTCTACACTCACCAGAACGAGCTTGGTTCGTGCGGCCTGGGCGGCGAGCAGCTGTCGGTGCAGCTGCTTGGGAGTCAGGTTGCATAGCGCTGCCCATTCCAAATGCGACAGCACATGCCTCTGCTGCTGCTGCCGCTGCTGCTGCTCTTCCGAACGTGCGATGCTCTCATCTGCATCTGCATCTGCATCTGCATCTGCATATCCGTCTGCTTCCCCATCCCCACGCCCATCTGCGAATGCTTCAGCAGCCTCAGGAGCTGCATTCACCTCACGACCTGCTGAGGCTGTTGCTGCTAGGGCTGCAGAACCCGCAGGCCTGGCAGAGGCTGCCGCGATCTTAGCTCGCTCCTCCAGCTCCTGGAAAGAGGACGTTTGAAATGTTTGAAATGTGGTGAAAGAGGAGCCGTTTTGAGACGTCTCAAAAGGGGTGGTGAACGAGGCAAATGGATGCACTGGGTGAAAGGAACGGCATCATAGGTAGAACCATTAACGTCGCGGCTATGAGGTGAGGAGGGAGGCAAAGCACGGGGACAGGAGGAGGAAGGGAAAGTAGAAAAGTCACGGCTGTTGATTCAGTCAATGCGCCCATATTATCACTGGGGTCGTCACATCACCTTCAATGCTCTCTTTGCACACCAACGCCACTCACATTCCCGCGCTGTATCAGCTCTGCCAATCGAAGCTCCTCTTTCTTCGAATTTTGAGGAGCCTCAAAAAGTCAATTTGCCCTAATCATAGCTAGTCGACGCACTACCTTAATCCCCCTCAGCGCCCACCACTCACGTTCCCGCGCTGTATCAGCTCCGCCAGTCGAAGCTCCTCTTTCGCCGGTAGCAACGAGCGTGGCTGCGTCCAATCAACGTTCATCGCTGTATCACCCCCGCCATAGTCACGAATCAGCGCATCCACCTCCTCCTCGCTCATCGCGTCCCCCCCAGCCGCTCCCCCGCCCGCGGAAGCTCTTCCGCCTCCGCCACTTCTCCTTACGCGCGGAGAAGCTGAAGCGGCTTCCGCTTCCGCGTCCAGTTCCGCTTCCGCGTCCAGTTCCGCTTCCGCCTCCCCATCTTCCGCCATTCCCAGCGCGTTTCCGCTCATCCGAAGGCCCATCGCGAGCGCGGCTGCGCGCAACCTCCTCCGCATCGCCCGCCTCCGCGCGGCAGGATCCATTTCCGCCATGTTTCCACCCACATCTGCTTCCCCCTCCGCCATCCCCCCTGCTGGCAGCTTCGTCGCAGAAGCGGACAAAAACCGCCGCCCCTTGACAAGTTTCCGCCTGTTGCCCCGCCCAGCGTCACTGGGACTGAGATTCCAGGCGGCCTCGAGCTGTTCGCGCACTTCCCGCGTAACTTCTAGCCGCGCCGCGTCGCCGTCGTAATCGTTTTCAAAGCTCTTCGAAGCCTGCGACGACGACGACGACGACGAAGATGACGACGCCAAATTAGCGTCGTCTAGTCGCACGAGGAACGCTGCGACCTCTGCGACGAGCGACAGACCCGTCGCAGAGGGGTCGAGATGCATGAAGGGAGCACCAGCAGCAGTTTCATGAGCATTAAAAGCGTGATCTACCTGCTGGTCTGATAAACGGTGAAGTAAGTCTTCATCGGTTAAGGCCAATTCGACTGGGTTCGAAGCGGTCCTGCGCTTTCTCTGCCTTCGCGTTCTCTTCTCCCGGGAGTCAGCAGCTGCTACGGTGCTAATGCTCGTTTGCGGCGGCTCGACTGAAACGGCTGCGGCGACCGGCGAGGCGGCGGCGGTCCGCGTGGCGGAAGAAAGCGATCGAGAGTGGCGCTTATTGAGGAGGCCGTGGTCCTGATAGTTCTTGGTATACCTCCTCAGAGTGTTTCGAGACGTCTCAGAGTTCAGAGAGTTTCCGTGGCAGACTCTAAATCCGCTGGATTTTCCGCCGCCGATTAAGGGCAGGCTAGGTTTAATCGCGATTGGGTGGTGACGTGGCCGCGAGGTTGTGAGAGCGGAGGAACAGGCGATTGGAGAGCTCGACGCGACATGCGTCGCCATGAGGGAAGATTCGTAAAAACTTATAAGAGATACAATGCGGATTTTGAGTTGGCACTGGCTGGTGCTGAAGCAGGTCTAGACTCCACAAGAATACTTTATATAGTGAAGTCACATCAGCAAAACAGAGAAATTCATATGGCCGTAGTCACATGCGGAAAACTGCTTCTGCAGTCATTGTTGCCTGTCCATCTGTGTGGTTCGAGAAACCCTGCGATAGCAGCTTATCCCTGACGACCAGCACAATATAACTGGAAGGTCCGGAGGGTCAGGAACGGTATGCCATGTTCTAGAACAATAATCTTCGGTTCACTGAGATATCAAACTTGCGTCTAGCTTCAGATTCAGCATTTATTCGGAAGTTGGCGAGCAAAGCAGGCGTCAGGCTCTTGAGGAACCACGACGAATCCTGGCCGTTGCAGATTGGTGGACCTGCGTCCGCGCTGCGATGGTGGCGTTCTCGAAGACGGCGTGGCAAAAATCCCGATGGACACGCAGGCAAAACGGTGTGAAGCACAGATGAGCTGACCTGGAAGTGACGAGGCACAGGGAGCGGAAGTCGGTCTGATTTTGTGGCGCGAAGAGTCTTCGAGAATATTTGTGGACATCTCCAGCCAATTCAAGTGCGTCGTTTCAGACATGTACCTAAGGTACGAAATGTGACGAAGTCGACAACGACGAAGTGCTTTGGCACGGTTACATGTCAACAAAGCAACTCTAGAAAGTTGGTCGAGTGTACACAACCAGAACCTGAATAAAGAATAGCAATGAGAGTAAATGGCAGCAATCCTACAATATTTCATGCTAAATCCAGCAAGCTACTCAGCCCAGTCCCCAAGAAGGGAACTGACTAGCAGACAGTAGTCCTAGCCATGCTGCGAGCTATCCTTCCACCTTCAACCCCCATCTCCACTCACAATCCTGCTATTCCGTTGGTTTCCCAATGACACTTCCCTCCTCCAATGCCATGCTCTCAAGGGCATCCAACAGCCCCTTGCTCAGAGGCCGCTCCCTTACAATCCCCCTTCTTCCTTCCATCCCCGTCACAACCCCCTCTCCCTCCTCCGCCTCCTCCTCCTCATCCTCGGACCTTCTCAACGCCCACCCACCCCTCCGCCTGCTCCCAGGCGTTCCAACATTGACTAGCGTGGACCAAGGTGGCGAATCCCCACCATTCCTTGACCTGCGTTGACTTGCAGGCGTGCGTAACGGAGTGCTGACAGCACTGCCAGCGCAGATATTACCAGCTGCGTCTGGGATCTCATCCTGATAGCGAGAAACCGGCGGCACGCCGTGGTCAGGGGCGGGGGAAGAGAGCGCCCGAGGGCTGCGCGCCCGGCGCAAGGGGGAGGGGGATCGAGGGCGCAGCACGCGCGGCCCTACCGTTCCAGGGGCGGCGGAGTTAGGGGCGCGACGGTTCGCCGGGGGGATGCCCGCGGGAAGCGCGGGGGAGGAGAGCTGGGAGGCGAGTGAGGAGCGGAGGCGGCGGGTCATTGTTACGGAGCCGCCTTCAGCGGGAGAATCGTCATGACGTTGCTGAGAGCCACGATGCTGCTGCAGGGACCAGGACACAGGAGAGCAAGAACGAACGGTCAGACTGGATAAGGTGTGAAACAGGGGATCCATTAATCATGCTGATCTTTATCGTGTCAAACAGGTTAACTTCAATCGTACTCTCTCACCTCGCGAATAGCATTAATAGCGGCTAGCAGTCCCGCGGGATCCTTCCCCAGCACAGCGCCGATCTTCCCGCCAACCTGCCACTTGGCGCGGGTTCGCCTCGCCGTTCCGCCTTCCGCCAACATTTCCCCTGCAGAACCCGCCACACCGCCGATCGTCGACGTGGAGCGGGGAATGGGGAACCTAGCGCGCGGGATGGGCGAGGTGGCGCAACGGACGAGCGCGGGAGCCGGAGCGGGGGCTTCTTCGGGGGAGTTGTGCGGCGTGGGCGCGGCGTAGAGGCTTAGCGATGGCGTCAACGTCGCCGCGCCCTTAACGGCGGTCATGACGGTAGGCGAAGCAAGAACAGCCGCCCTGCGACGACGGAGAGGAGCCACGGCCTGCGGAGTGCGGTCGCACGGGTCGCACAGGTCGAGGTGCGCGAAACCATTGCCACTGACGCCGTCGTCGCCAACGGCGTCGCCATACGCCGCGGAAATTGGTTCCTGGATGCTGTAGCAGCGCGCGATGGTATTTTGCCTCGTCAGCGTCGCTTGAATGCACGGGCTGTCGCCATTCCAACCCGGCGTGCTGCTCTGCCTCGTCAGCTTCGACCGGCTCTTCGCGACAATCTCGGGGGTCTCCTCCTGGCACGGCGTCGAGAGCAGCAGCTTTGAAACTTCGCTCCGGAGAGCGTCAGCACCGTCGTCATGTGCACCGTCGATCAGTCGCGATCCTTTCGAAGTCAAAGGTGCAGGAGTGCAGGGATCAGCAGGCACGACGGGTGGCTTCGATGGAAGCACGGCCGCGTTTACCAGCGAAGGCGGGGTAGGCTTGCTGGATGTAGTGAGCTCGGCTGACGTGTCGTTGGTGACGTCAGATAGAGCAGGTCGCGGACGAGGATTTCTCGCATGCTGTCGCTTAGCAGTTGTTAACTTTCGCTGCGTTGGCATTGGTGTCGTCGTTCCTGCATAAAATAAGCGTATATCTTAGGTTAGCGATCTAGAAGACGGAATTTCACAGAAAACAGAGGGCGGAAGAAACAGAAGACGATACAATGAAACTGGAAGCGGTCAGCAGGTGCTGCTAACCTGGCGGGACGGGACTGGAGAACAGCTGAGCTCGGGCCCTGCTGCGAGTGCGCACGCCAAGTACGGGCGTATCGACGGCCATCGCAGTTAAAATTATTATGATGAATCTGCCTTGTGAGCGTTGCGAGAAAGTTCCTTGTTACTAACGGATTCAGTCGTAGCGCTGACGAAGTTAGGAGATTTCCTACTAACCCTAGAACCCTTCAACGGAATTGATCTAGAGCGAAGACAAGCGAGTACTACTAGGCAACTACCAGAAGGAAGAACAAGGCAATGAGAGGATAAGGTCTGAATGAGAGTTATAGTATTCAAGCAGGAAGTCTAATCACAAGGCCAAGAATTGGCTGCAGTCAAATTCTGAAGTAGGCGATAGCTAGTGGAAGGCTGGGTGGGAAGGAAGGAAGGAAGGCAGCACCCAGACATGAACCAGACAATGACGAATTCTAGTCATGCTCCAATAATCGTTCGATTGCGAGCGCGAATGGTGGGGTCAAATTTTCTGACGGCCATGATGAGTTGCTTGTGTGGATGGGTGAAGGGAAAGACTGTCGTCTGGTTTGTCTTGCCGCCATGCCGTTTGAATTTGAAGCGAAAAGCGAAAACCTTTCCCCGCCGCGCGCGCTGCGACTGGAACTGCAAACGGCTCGGACCCCAAAAACTTCCCGAAATGCCACGATAGTGTATTGTTGTTGTAAGTATTTATAGAATGTGGTGTAGAATCTGGTCTGCTTGCGGTCTCGCAACTTCAAACAGCGCTTTAACGAGATCACATACCAAACCTATGTTGTCAGTTCCCGAACCATGTGTCAGAAGAGACGTAACTATTGGCTCGGCGCTTTGCACCAATTAAAGCCCAAGATCAACATGGTTTTTGGCGAATTTTCTGTAGGGCTTTAAATGTGTTGGCGAAAAGCATAAAAAAAACATTTCGGGAATATGGGCGGGGCGAAAGCGAGATTAGGCTGCGAAGAGATTGGGAAGTCGTCACTCATCGGTATGAGTGTGCGACAAACCAACCCAACCAAACCAACCAAGTGAGTTACCTCACCAGTCTTGTTAGTAGTAGTCAGAAAACTTCCCGACAGTCAGAAACCGCCGCATAAACTACGCAGATTTTAGGAACTCCACCCGCGTATACACAAAGTTGTTGTGCCTCGCCTCCCGTCGTTGCGTCTCCCCTCGCCGCACCCCCTGTCCCATCGTCACGCCTCCCGGATTTAGGGTACCCTCGTTTTTGGGAGCCTCCCCTCGTCGCGCCTCCGCTCGCCTGGCCGCGCCTCTGCTTGCCTCACCGCGCCTCCGCTCCCCTCGTCGCACCTACGTTCGCCTCCCCTTGCCTCCGCTCTCCTCGCCGCGCCTCCGCTCTCCTCGCCGCGCCTCCGCTCTCCTCGCCGCGCCTCCGCTCTCCTCGCCGCGCCTCCGCTCTCCTTGCCGCACATCCCCTGCCATCAGCGCGCCAACACCCTCGTCGCGCTGCCCCTCCTCGCGCCTCCACTCCCGCTGCCCTTCTCCCACTTGCCCATCCCCTTGCCCTCGCTTCCCTGCCTTTCCATTCCCTCTTGTTACCTTACCCTCGATTCCCTCTGCTTCCCCTCATTCCCCGTCTCCTTCCCCTCATTCCCCCCTCTTCTTCCCTCGTTTACTCCCCTGCTTCCTCTCGTTTTCCCCTCAGCTCCCCCTGGTTTCTCCCCTGCTTCCCCTCCTTCCCGCCTCCGCTTCTACTCATTCCCCCCTCCTCTTCTCCTCATTCCCCTTTCCGCTTCTCCTCATTCCCCTTCCGCTTCTCCTCATTCCCCCCTCCGCTCCCCTTGTTTTCCCCTCTGCTTCTCCTCATTCCACCCTCCGTTTCTCCTCATCCCCCCCCCCGCTTCTCCTCATTACTACCCCCGCTTCTCCTCATTCCCCCTCCGCTTCTCCTCATTCCCTCCCCCGCTTCTCCACATTCCCCCCTCCGCTTCTCCTCAATCCCCCCTCCGCTTCTCCTCATTCCCTCCCCCGCTTCTCCTCATTCCCCCCTCCGCTCCCCTTGTTTTCCCCTCTGCTTCTCCTCATTCCACCCTCCGTTTCTCCTCATCCCCCCCCTCCGCTTCTCCTCATTCCCCCCTCCGCTTCTCCACATTCCCTCCCCCGCTTCTCCTCATTCCCCCCTCCGCTTCTCCTCATTCCACCCTCCGCTTCTCCTCATTCCCCCCTCCGCTTCTCCTCATTCCCCCTCCGCTTCTCCTCATTCCCTCCCCCGCTTCTCCTCATTCTCCCCTCCGCTCCCATTGTTTTCCCCTCTGCTTCCCCCTGGGACTTCACATTCTCTCTGTGCTTCTCTGTCCCCTGGTCCCCCATGCGCAACCCTGTGCCCAACAAGGGGTGGACGATGCAGGCCGCTTGCTGTGTCTCTTGGTACCTTAATAGACTGCCCCTCACCCTCACCCTGCGCCCGCTGTGCCCCCTCTGTCCCCTCGGCCTCCCCATGCCTTCCCATGCCTTCCCATGCCTTCCCATGCCTTCCCATGCCTTCCCATGCCTTCCCTCACCCTCGCTTACCCAAACTCACCCTCGCTCACCCAAACTCACCCTCGCTCACCCAAACTCACCCTCGCTCACCCAAACTATCCTACAGCTGTTTGAAAGTATTGCTTCTACTCTCACGTTCCCTCCCTCCCACTGCATGCCACAGGGAGGTGGTGGTGGTGATGGTGCTGCAGAGAGGCAAGGGCGCAGAGGTTGGTAGGGCTGAAGTTGAGAGAGACAGTGGAGGGCGCGGTGGGAGAGTAGGGCCCGTGAGAGACACGCACTGCTCTCACAGCTGACCTGCCCCTTGCAATGTACCGCTGGCACCGGATGAGCCTGCCTCTCTACCTGCTGCCATGGCCCACGCGGGGGTGGTGTCAGACGGTGCGGGGCAGACACAGGGCTGCTGTGAGTGCGAATGCTCGTACCATGCTTGCTCCTACTAGGCTAGCTCGTACATGCGTGCTCGTACCATGCTTGCTCGTACCATGCTTGCTCGTACCATGCTTGCTCGTACCATGCTTGCTCGTACCATGCTTGCTCGTACCATGCTTGCTCGTACCATGCTTGCTCGTACCATGCTTGCTCGTACCATGCTTGCTCGTACCATGCTTGCTCGTACCATGCTTGCTCGTACATGATTGTGTGGCCCCAGTGGACTCTGCACGAGTCAGCATTGCTTGCTGCAGTTTCAGCTGCTGCAACTCACTGCATTTTGATGCTGTTTGGTTCTTTCCACTCATGTTAACCTGGTTGGAACTGATGGGTTATCATTACAACGTGCCTTCAGGCAGGCCTACACGATGGAGGTATTGCCTTAAGTAATGCGTTTGGCTTGCATTCCCTCACACACATACACACTGTTTCGCATTGTCAACTGTCGTAGAGTGTCGCATATTTTCACTGTTTGTTACACATTGTTTACCCAGTGTCACATATTTCCACTATTTGTTGCACATTGTTTACCCATTGTCACATATTTCCACCGTTTGTTACGCATTGTTTACCCATTGTCACATATTTTCACAGTTTGTTGCACATTGTTTACCCATTGTCACATATTTCCACTGTTTTTTACGCATTGTTTACCCATTGTCACAGAGCGTCACACTTCGTTCCTCATTTCAACCCGTTGTCACTGAGTGTCATGAATTGTTACGCATCTTTCACCCATTGTCACGGAATGTCACACATTGTGTTGAATTGTCTCACATTCTCTCAGTGTCACGTGGGCCGTTATCTCACGTCGCATAACGTCACGCATTCACGCATTGTCACACTAATTTGTCACTCTCTGTCATGCCCTTGTCACTCATTGTGTCCCGGTTGTTTGTTGTATCGTGTTGTCTCAATTCTCTCACGTTGTCACATGGTTACTGCTGCCCATGATTTTTTCCGGGCAGAAGGTGGTGAAGGGTTGTGCCATTGGTGGTGGTGCTGTAAAGGGGCGAGAGGTTGAGCAGATCGCAGCACTGGAGGAAGGCGAAGGTGGTGCAGGCCTGTCAGGAGTAACCGGAGATTCTGGTGGCAGTGGAAGCTGCATCAGTGGTAGTGGCGGTGGTGGTAACCGCGTGTTACGGCTGCGGCCAATCATGCTGGCGGACATGCGGGCGGCGAAGCTGCAAGTGGTGCGGAGCACAGGGGGAGGCAGCAGCAGCATGGCAGCGCTGCGGCCGTGCAACCACCTCCATGGGGGGAAGGAACGAGGAGGGGAGGTTCAGGCAAAAAATGAGGCGCAATGATTTATGACAAGGAGAGAAAGGTGGTGTACCCTGACTGACCTGACATGCTAGCGTAGCGTGGCTCTTACCAGAATTGTGATGCCTATAGCATCTCATGCACAAACCTCGGCTGGTGCAGCTCGATGCATGCTAAATGAAACTTTGGAAAGATTGTTCGAATGCCTTACGTATAGTGTGATGTTCCTTGGTTATTATGATGTGTTGAAGTGGTTGTTCCACTATACTGTGTTGGCAGGCGGGCTTATTCATCGGTGCTGCCTTTGATAATTGAACTTGTTCCATGTCCGTGTTCAGGCAAACTAGGTTTACAACTAAACACGAAATATAAATAGCATGGATAAATACATTATAATAACTCAGCTAACTACCGTAAGCAGCACACTACCAGCAGCAGCATCCCATCCCATGACAAGCCTCGGTCATCACATGGCCCAGCCTCTGACCCATTGGAGAGCACGTGAGCAGCTTCAGTCATCCAAGTCCCTCACACAATCCAGCCTCCATGCTCCAATCCACCATCCAGTTGCTACAACACCCTGACCAGCAGGGTGCAAAAAGTGTTGCCGCCTTCCTCCCCACTGTCCACCAACCCGTGCCTTCCCCAGCTGTACCTTG